GAATTGCTGAAGTAAAACCAGAAGGATCAAGTCCTTAATGTCAAAACTTATTACACATACAGTAATCCATACCCTGTGGTGCAGGTAGACGGGTGGACATATAAATCAGTGCAAAAAATTAACAAACCCTGATTTTTGATTTAGTCAAGAAGCAAAACATAATTGAATAGAGAAGGATTTTCAAAAAAATTGGGCTGGAGCAACTTGAATAACCTTAGGATATTGAGTCTATATCCGGTAAATGGAAAAAAGTGTGCTCTGTGATATGTATTTTATAACAAAAAATTTAGAAACTTCAACAGTTTTTAAAACAAATAATTTAATTAAAATATAGGCCAAAGAGATAGAAATATCTCTTTAAAAACATATGAGGGCTGGGAAGGTGGCTCAGTGGTAGAGTGCTTGTCTCACATGCATGAGGCCCTAGGTTTAATTCCTCAGCACCACATAAGCAGAAATAAACCTGGAAGTGGTGCTGTGGCTCAAGTGGTAGAGTGCTAGCCTTGAGCCTTGAGCGGAAGGACAGTGCCCAGGCCCAGAGTTCAAGTCCCACGACCGCCAAAAAAAAAAAAGAAAGAAAAAAAAATATATGGATGGTAACCAAACCAAACAAACAAAAATATACATGAAAAATAAGCACGCAAAAAGGTGTTCAACATCACTGGCCATTAAGGAAAAGCAAATTAAAGCCAAAATGAGGTATTACTACATACCTACCAAAACATGTTAGGATGAGATTAGGTGTTAGAAAGAGGAGATAGAATGTCAGGGCTACACATACTAGTTGTGTGGCAGCACGAGGACTTTAGATCAGGATTCCAACCAACTCTAGGAAATTGAAGATCTCACTCACTGAGTGGTCTCTCAATACTTTTAAAAGACCAGAGCACAGAAGGGAAATTATGTACTGGTTCATTGGCCATTGAACACTTACTTTGAATAACGAACCATTGGGGCACAGACTTTTATCAGCTGCCCAGAATGTAACATTTCTATTGGGTCTTTTTTTCTTTCTTGACATAATGTGGCTTGTACAGAGTCAGTCTTCATGAGCACAGATATGTTTAGAATCTGAAAAAGACAGTTTGCATAGAGAAAATGTACTTTCACTATATGAATTCTAACAATTTCAATCATTTTCATAAAGTTTGTGGACTAAAGAAGTTGTTTCAGCTTCTCACTTTCCAAATAGGATACTATTGAATTCTGCCTTTTTTTAACATATAAATATGAGAAAAACACAAGATATTGGGAAAAACTAAAGTTTTTTTTTTTTTTTTTGGGGTCCGGTCATGGGGCTTGAACTCTGGGCCTGGGCGCTGTCCCTCACCTCTTCAAGGGTAGTGCTCTACCACATGAGCCACAGCACCACTTCCGGCTGAGGAGTCCAACCCAGGGCCTCAGGTATGCAAGGCAAGCGCTCTACCACTGAGCCACCTTCCCAGCCCCACTAAAGTTATTTTTGTAGTATGTTAAAAATTTTCATGTTGCTTTAAGATAGGGTCTTGCTATGTAGTCCTGGCAATCCTTCAGCCTCAATCTCCCAAGTGCTGGGATTATTGGTGTGTGCCATCACGTCTGGCCTTGTATTACTTTTAAATATTTTCCATTTGTTATTGATAAATCAAGATATGTGAAGTGAACCACTCCCTATGGTGTATATAACTGGGACTTTGAATTATCTCCATTGAGAAGTTAAATGCACTTAATAGAATCACTTTAGTGTTTCAGACTATATCAATATATGTATATACATGCATATATATATATATATATATATATTTGCTGGTCATGGGGAACTGAGGGACTGGGTATTGTCCCAGAGCCAGGTCCATTTCCACCATTTCCAGTGGTTAATTGGAAGTAAGAGTCTCGTGGGCAGGAGGGCTGGCTTTGAACCATGATCCTCAGATCTCAGCCTCCAAATAGGGCTATAGCTGGGAACCACTGGTGCTCAACTAAAATACTAATTTTTTTGTGACTAATTCTTTGTGACTCAGAAGGCAAATAAATCTTTATTATTTAGAAAATTTTAAATATGGTATTAACAGTGAAAATTTCAATTTTAGCCATATATAATTACAAGTAAACTACTTTGATACCCCAAGAAATACAAGTGAAAAATTGTTTGTTGCTTTTTATATTCCAATTTTTGGTACTATAACTCAGACACAGATAAATTGAGTGCCTTCAAACTTTGGTAAAAGTTAAAACCAAAATATGATCACGTTCTTTAAGGATGACTTTTTTTTCCCTCAATGTTTAGAACACTTTTATTAAAATACAAAATGGTTGGAATATAGCTAAATAGAAAAACATTAAATAGTTACAAAAACATGGATAACCTCACTAATAAAACACATAACAATTTAGAAATGTTTAAAAAATCAGCATTCCGGGCTGGGAAGGTGGCTCAGTGGTAGAGTGCTTGCCTTGCATGCATGAGGCCCTGGGTTTGATTCCTCAGTATCACATAAGCAGAAAAAGGCAGAAGTGATGCTGTGGCTCAAGTGGTAGAGCACTAGCCTTGAGTTGAAGAGCTGAGGGACAGCGCCCAGGCCCAGAGTTTAGGCCCTACGACCAACCCCCCCCCAAAAAAAAAAAAAAAAAAATCAGCATTCCCTAGAAATCTGTTCTGGGAGACAGGGACTTAGGCAGCAGAGGGGACAAGTCAGGAGTTGACATATTCAAATAACTGGCCTAATTTCATCTCTGTGACTGTAAGGTCATTCAGACATAGGATGATTTTTTCTTTTTGGTCGTGGGGCCTGAACTCTGGTTCTAGGCACTGTCCCTGAGCTCTTCAGCTCAAGGCTAGCCTCCACCACTTGAGCCACAGCGCCACTTCCAACTTTTTCTGCTTATGTGGTGCTGAGGAATAGAACCCAGGGCCTCATGCATGCAAGGCAAGCACTCTACCACTGAGCCATCTTCCCAGCCCCATAGGATCATTTTCTTCAGCCTATAATATTCAAGGATAAGAGCAATTTTTCACAGCTTAAAACAAAAATCACATAAAAGGCCAAATAATATTTGTACCTGGTAGAAATGTTATCTACAAAATTAGGATGAAACAACAGGGAAGGAGGTAGAGTGATACTTTTAACCAAAGAAAACAGACAAAACACAAAGGTAGAGAAGAAAATAATGCCTATGGGGTGGTCATTATTTAGACATATACTATATATACACACATATATATATATGTATACACTATATAAGAAGCTATGGGCTCTATTCACTTTATTAGTCTTGTATTAAAAGGTCTTCCCCAAACTGTATTCAGAGGAGAGGAAATTAAGAACTTTAAAATTAAGTAACTTTAAAACCAGTCAGGCTCAGTGAGACCATTCACCACCTTTTAAAACAGGTGGATGACCTATCTTGCAGAAACCTTTCAAAGCAGGAATATTTAAGTCACAGAGAAAAGGGGGAGTATAAAGGAGATGGAGGCAGATGAACTGTGGTGCTGGAAATAATAAAAGTGAAGGATGGCATTCATAAACCAAGAGAAAGCTGGGTGCAGAGGGCTCATGCCTGTAATCATAGTAACTCATGAAGCTGAGATCTGAGGGTCATGGTTAGAAGCTGGCCTGGGCAGTCAAGTCTGTGACTCTTATCTCCAATTAAATCACAGAAAAAGCAAGAAGTGGCCTTGGCTCCAGTGGTAGAGGGCTAGCTTGAGCAAAAGGAGCTCAGATACAGGGCCCATGCCCAGACTGCAAGTGAGGAAGGAGAAGGAAAGGAGAGAGGAGTGGGAGAGGAGAGGAGAGGGAGAGACAGGAATGAGAGGAAGAGAATATGAATGAGGTGACAATATTACAAAGAAGGGAATGAACAGTTTAAACAACATAGAATTAAAAGAGTCTAGTGGCAAAGAGATTACAAGTAAACTACTGGAGTAAGAAGTTTCATTCTTACTCTTACAGTCTCTTACTCTTGTAGTCATAGTAAATGGCACAAAGTCCCACTAAATATGTATTTGCTGAATAAGTTGGTCAGGTTCAACCTTGATTGTAGGGTCGATGGAGCTTTTAAAAGTCAAGGATTAAATAAAAAAAAAAAATCTCGAGTTTGGAGAATGTAGGTGATTTCTATGTGTAGCCAACCTTGGAACAACTGGAATAAACAAACCTATACACTGGACTAAATCACTATAGTAGATGGGCCTTTATCTTTACTACTTCCTTTGGGGTAAAGCTTGATGCTTAGTTTGCACACGCATCCTAGTACTGTGATAGTAGGGACGCGAGAGTTTTTTCCTTGTGTAACTATTAAAGTACTCCAATGTAAAGCAACAAAAAGCTAAGGGGGAAAACATGCAATAATTCACAGATACTGCTATTGGTGATGAACAATAAAGAACAGCTAAGGATACATTAGTTGTGTGTCTTATGAGTCGTAGAATTTGAGTTTCTAAGCCCAGGGCCTCTGGCAATTCATTGCACATCCACCGCGTGATCAGAGAGGCTCAGAGACCACGACCCGCGCCTCGAACGCCCGCCTGGCTACGCTTATTGAATGCTTTTGGATTCCTAAAGGACGAAACAGCGTTTCCCGCCTGCTTTTTACCCGAGGTCTGCCACTCAAGACCGAGTGGCAGCCAGTCCCGCCTGCGATTGTGGGCGCGGGCGCAGCTCCGGAAGCCTCCGCTCTCCTCTCGGCCTCGTTCAAACACAACTCCAAGCCTGGGATTTAAGTTCAATTCTCGCCTCGGAGATACTCGCCGCCACGTCCCGGAGCCCACGTGGCCCTCGCGGGAGGAAACCCCGCCTGCGACGGGGGCGCGGCTCCGAGCTGCGGCCGGGAAGCGCGGAAAGCGCGGGCCGCGCGGCCGTCGCTTCCTCCAAGCATCCGGGTCTTCCGCGGCCGCTGGCTCAGGCTCCCACCGCGCCTCCGGAGAGCGCTCGGTGACTGACTACGTCCAGCAGGCCCCCCACGGGTCGACGAGGCAGGTGGCGCCTAGATTTTGCGTCATCACCCTCAGGCGGGACGGGCTCGTGACGCCATCAACCCGGCCCCTGCCAATATGGAAGGGAGTGACTGCGGCGTCGCTGTGGCTGGCCTTGGGGCTCAGGCTTGTGGAGCAGCTGCAGCGACAGTGAGGGAGCTTCTGCAGGACGGTAAGGAATCGGCGTCCGTACAGGTGGTGAGGTGACGGGCTGCTGCGATTCGTGCCTGAGCCCAGGCGGCTTCCTCAACCTGTGCTGGACGGAAAGTTTTCCGGTCTCAACGTGACCACTCCCCTCTGCCCGGCCCCCTGGCGTCCGGGTGCTGCCTGGTTGTGACCTGCCCCCCACTTCCCTTCCTGAGCCTTGGGGACACTTGGTTTTCTGGTGCCTCCAGTTTCAGCTAGGTCCTCCCGTGTCTCTGAAGCTCTAGAACCCGCCATCCAGGGCTCCAGCCTTGGCAGTCACCACCCTCTCTCTGCCACAGTCGTTGAGTTAAAGGTTGAAGAGTTCGAATCACACATAGCCAGTAGACGCTTAATAAAAGAGAAGATCGTTAAATTACGGTGGGAAACACTTCCGTTAAATTATTGGGTTATAGGTGCCCCTTGTAGGCTTGTATGTCTTTGTGTGTGTGTGTGTGTGTGTATGTGTATATATACATATATATACACACATATGTATAGATATATGTATATAGAAGTAGTTATCCACAGTTACACTTGAAAGTGTTGAGAGTTTTCATTCAAGTTGGAAATAACCTTTTTTTTTTTTTTTTGTGAATATAGGAATCAGATTTACTAGTAGTAGTTTGGGAGAGAAATTGTCCCAAATAAGTTAGATATAGTATGCTTGAAAAGTACAATTATATCAATCCTGTTAATTTACTTTCAGAATAAAGTTCATGGTTCAAAGGGTAAACATGAGGCCCTTCTCACTTGTTCTAATTTTTTTTCCCTAATGGACATCTCATTCTACTTTGTATTGAAATCATTTGTATACTTTCTTTCCTTGCTCCACTTTATTGTAACCTCCCCCCCCCCTTTTTAGTTTTCACAGCATTCTTAGCAGTATCTTGCACATAGCAGGTTCAGAATGCTTATAAGATTGAACATCCTTGTAAGAAGCAAATGCACATATGTAGACCAAAGTGACTTGTGAATGATTGAAATTAAGTTCTAAATTAGTGTTTTCTCTGACTATTAAATATTTTACAAGTGCTGTAATAGACTTTTTGGGGTAACTTATAGGCTTTGGTCAAAACATGTTGTTTTCTGAACTAGACTGTGTTAGATCCTTTAGGTTAGAGCCTTTGTTGAAGACATTTTTGTATCGTAATTGAAATTCAGTTTAACCAAGTTTTAAACTCTGAAGTTTTCAAATAGCTCACTATGAGTATGGGAAATTATTTTGTTAAGCTGTTAAGTTAGATTTGATAGTGTTGTAGGAGTAGTTACTCAGTTTGTATGTACAAAGAAGAGCATGAAAATAGGATGAAAACTAGTGGTTAGGAATTGGTTAAGGAGTGCCAGGAAAGCCTTACTAGATGAAGTTAGTTTTGAAGTATAACTAGAACTTCACCCAGGTGAACAAGTAGAAGGAGCAACAAATTGCAAATGTTTATGTGTTTCAGTGAGCTGTATTCCAGGTGTTTTTCCTGTTTTGAGAGAGTAAATAATCATTAAACATGTCTTCTATATTTTCCTGTTTAATTCTCTTTGCAGTTTTTCACAGTAGTATTTATATCTTCTTTCTTCAAGTCTCTGTTTAAGTTAAAAAACTGACTCAACTTCATTATAAAATAGACTACCTTAGATGTGAACTTCCTCCTGTTTTTGCCATCAAACCTTCACATTTGACCTGAACCTAAATCATTCTTTCTCCCCCAACCCCCTTTAGGTCAAATACCCTGTATTTGAAACACTTTCTTCCTCTTCCCAAGTACAGTTCCTCCTGTGGAGCTCTAGATTTTCTCCCTGTCTTCTTAGGGACCCAATCACTCATATTTTGTACCATTCAAATTATTTTGCAAATGTTTCAAATGATTTCCGGGAAAATAAAGGGACACTTTTGGTCCTCATTTGAACTTGTAAGGAGCATGCCTTTTTTCTTGAAATACTTCCCTCATGGTGTATGGATTTTATATTTATATCACCTTTATTCTCCAGGTGATCTTTTCTGGTTGTCTGTATGTATTTATCGCTGGTTAATTCAGAGGTCCTTGACTACCATTGTAACGTATCCCAGGGATTAGGTATTAAGTATTTCCATCAGTAGCCATGATTCATCATTTCAGGGATTTGATAGTGACAGAATAGATTGATAGTATAGGATTGGTGGGTAGATGCATACTTTGAAAACGTTGAAGATGTTTCCGATGTGCCTCCTATGGGAATAAGAAAATCATAAAAGAAAAGCATTATCTAACTTATTTTGGGAATGCCTTGCCTCAGAAACTGATGTTCAGCCTTCATTGTGCCTCATTTTAGGTCTTCGGGATTGCTGCTGACCAGTGTTGCTCCCCATTTTTCCCCTCTGACATTTTGGTTGCTTAATTTATTTCCTTTATTCACTCCTCAATTTTTGGTGTTTTTTGGGATTCTAAACCTTATTTCTAACTCATTTCCCTTCTTTCTCATTTCCTTGTTTTTCTTTTCTTTTTTCTTTTCTCTGTGTGCCTGTGTGCATTCTAAAATTTCTTCCCAAGTTTTCTAATATTTTTTTATTGGTAGTTTCAAAGGATCATTACCTCTCTTCTGAATTATACAACTATTTTAAACTGTCTGCTGTAATTTCTATCATGTCAACAACCAGTACTAGTTCAACATATGACAATTTACATGTGAATATTGAAACTTCTACATATGAAAACATGAAGTAAAATGTTCATGCCTTTAGTCTTTTTTCTCTTTTAATATCTTGTTATTACTTATAGGGAATTTGTTAAATATGTGATTGTTCCTTGTTTAAATTATGAAGTCCTTTGAGGCAGGGATTTGTTTTTATGGTTAGTGCAAAACTGAATACCCTGTATCAATTACTTGTAAAACTTGGAAGTCACCCTTGATTTGGGCTACCTCATCATCTATTTTTCAGCTTTTCTCTAATTCCTTCACAATATCCTGTCTGAATATTTGCCAAATTTGTCATGTCCTTGATATTTTTTTTGTGACACTGTCTTATTTAGTGGGTAGTTAATATGGTCCTGTTCTTTACTGACTATACTCCATGGTCTAATGGTAAAGCTGCTTTCTGGAAAAAAAAAAAAGAAAAAGTTATAATTTTCTAGTATGTTCCTGCTTCCCTGGTGTAAATATTCACTGTGGTTGATTTTAAGATGCCTACATAAGATGACACCTGGCTCACAGTATTTTGAAAATGTAGAGTTGCAAAAAGCAACTGGAGCCACCTTCAGAGCAGCTTTATGCGATGAACTGGTTTTTAGTAATCTTGCACACTACTGCCAAAATTACTGTTCTCAAATGAAAAGCTGACAGTGCTCTTCCTTGGCTTTAAACCTTGAATGGAGCTAGGGTGTGTGTGTGTGTGTGTGTGTGTGTGTGTGTGTGTGTGTGTGTGTGTGTGTGTGTGTGTGTGTGTGTGTGTGTGTGTGTGTGTGTGTGTGTGTGTGTGTGTGTGTGTGTGTGTGCAACATGCTTTGATCCTACTTAGAATCTTCCTTTTCTTTTTTACCCTCTCTGTCATTATTACCATTATACTCATTTTAGGACTAGATTCCATGTATTAGAAAAATTCCATGTCTTTTGGCCTTTTGAGCTTGGCAGTATGATGGTCTATAGTGCTGTCCATTTTCTCACACATGACATGATTTTGTTCTTTTTAAGATTGAATAATGCTCAATTGTGTATATGTACTACATTTCTGTTATCTATTTATCAGTTGTTGCCCACCTAGGCTACTTCCAAAGCTTGGTTATTGTTAGTAGTGTTTCATTAAACATGCCTGCAGGTGCCTCTCTCATATGTTGTTTTACACTCATTTATTTATTTGCCAAAGAGTGGTATGGTAGAGTCATGTAGTATGTCTATTTTTAGTTTTTGGAATCAAGTCCATATTGATTTCAGGGTTGGACTAATTTACTATGGTTTGAATGATGCTACTAGTGCTCCTATTCTGACTTATTTTGAGATAGGGTCTTACTTTTGGTCTGAGCCAAAAGTAAAAATATTCACAAAAAACTAAAAAAGACGAAGAGCCAAAGAAGAGGGAAAAAGAAAAAAACTTAGCATTTCTGTTTGCTCTCGGATGTACTTTTCTTTTGTCTTTTTTAATGGTCTAAAGGAGTTATTCCTGCCAGGGGACACTGGGTTAGAGTCAGCTCAGGGGAATGCTGGCTGCTCTGAGACCTCAACTGGCTCCCTAGAATAGGAAGGTAGACTTAGTGTTCTGAGTATAGTTGAGGCTTTCAACCACACAGTCCCCAGCCACTCATTATTTAATGTGTGGCATGCCACAACTCCCAGCTCCCTCCAACTCTTGTTCGCTATGGGGGCCCTTCAGTTCTGGGGTCATAATTGCTGTGCTCTCTTCTGGATAGGCTGGCATTCTTTATGGTCATGCAACTTACAGCCTCACAACAAGATTTCCTATATGAAATGGTGACTGATAGCAACATTTTGCTGGTCCTCAAGACTGCACTTTGTCTCCTGTGTGTTTTATGTCATGTAGTTAGTGTTGCTTTCTCAGTTTCTATCTTGGCCCAGCCTTGCTAGACCAGATCTCTCCTGTGCTAGAAGTTTGTGTTGCCCCAGTCTCTTCCTTTAACATTTGGAGTTCCTGCAGTCCGGTGACATTGTCTGAAGAGTTGTGCCTGCTGATGATTGTGAGCTTGTGGAATACTGATGGAATCAGGTCTACTATTAGGACTACTTCTTTTTTTTTTTTTTTTTAATTTAATTTAATTTTATTTGTGAACATACTGTACAGAGGAGTTACAGTTACATGGGCAGGATAATGTGTACATTTCTTACCAAGCATTGCAGCCTCCTCCTTTGTTTACCCTTCACATCCCTTCCCAGCCTCCCTAGGACTACTTCTTTAGTAATTGTATGGCAAGATTGATGTAAGAATAGTTGCTCAGTAAGTTCTGTTAGTGAGGAGAATTGCTGGGTAATGGATGATGTCACTAAGCTTCAATCTTCCCTTGGATCCCCAATAAATATTACAAATAGGTAATTTCCTCTTGTATTCTCCCTGGTAATGACCTCATTTTCTTGGAATAAAAGGTATGATTAGTGGTTGTCTTTTACTCTTCACCCAATGTTTTCCTTTGTTTTGATTTTTACTATAAAACACTTATAGACTGGAGTCAGCAACAGATCTTCCTACTTGAAACCCCAGTGACATTGGACAAGTTCTGTGCCTGTTCCTCATCTGTGTAATGAGGAAAATAATAGTTCCAACAGGATAATGTGAGGATTGAATGAGTCTGTATGTATATAGTACTTAGATCAGTATCTGGCTCTTAGGAATATTACTACTTTTCTTTCATTTATGCCTGCTCCTATTCTCCATCATCATTATAGGTGTTAGGTTTTTAAAAAGAGGTAGCCAAGTAAGAACAGCACCATGCACGTGGTATTCAGGTAAGGAGTAGGTTTATTCATCGTTCCGGCTGGCACCAGGCCATCTTGGTCCTCCACGCGGTGGGGAAAGGCCTGGGGAAGAGTGCTGGGAGATCTGGGAAAGAGAAAGAGCTGGGAAAGAGAGAGAGCTGGGAAAGAGAGAGAAAAGAGAGCATCTGGGAAAGAGGTAGGAAAGAGCAAGCTAGGAAAGAGAAGAGAACTGGGAAAGAGAAGAGAAGGAAAGAGCTGAGAAAGAGCTAGAAAAGAACAGAGAGAGAACGCCTGGGCCTGGGCTAAGCCTTATGTAGGGTATGGGCGGAGAAAGGTGTGGCCACATCAAATTCAGATGTGACCTCAGCAGATGCAGATATGACCTCTTCCAGGTGTCCCAGTTGCCTAGGTAATGCAGGCACTGGGTGGAGACTTCGCTGCAAAGAGGGTGGAGTCTGCTAGCCATCTAGGAGTGGACCTTACATTCCAGCCTTTTAATAATCATGGTGGATTCTCTCTGGCTACTTCCTGCTGACAAAGGGCATCCAGAATAGGGGTAAAAGGCTGGAATTTGGTCCCCTCCCAGAGAAGGCAGTGAGCAACAGCTGTCCCTTGGTGGCGTGAGTCCTTAGATGAAGTCTGGAGAAGTCTCATGAGCATTGAGGGGCTGGAAAAAAAAATACTAGAGAGCAAATAAATGGCAAGAGGAAGGACTTGGGGCTGAAAATGTTGGTAGAAATGTCCCTAGCTACCTCTGACATCTGGCGACTAGATAGAGAAGTCAGGTGACAAAGGCAAGAATATAAATTCCTGTTCAGTTAATAGGTAAACAGGTATAGACATTGGATGGGCAGGCTTCTTACTTCTGCTGATCTCCCGGCTCTGGTTAATTTTGAAAGGGCAGGCACAAAGTAGCTGATGTGACATCATCTCCTCTTGCTCCTCTCCATGGTCCCTTGTTCCCAAGACTGGCTGAGTCTAGGTGCTCGTTGCTGGGATGGCTTGTCCCAGTTGGTATTCAAGGTTTGAACTCAAGGCCTGGGCACTGTCCCTGAGCACTTCTGCTCAAGGCTAACACTGAACCACTTTGAGTTATAGTAACACTTGCAGAGTTTGGCTGGTTAGAGATAAGAGTTTTGAGCCATGCTTCCAGCCTGGCTCTTTGCAGGTTAGCTGGGAGATGGAGTCTTAGGGATTTTTCAGCCCGGGTTGGCTTTGAACTGAAATCTTTGCCATAAAAACCCTTTATTATTTCCAATTAAAGCAACAAGGAGATCAAATAGAATAAGTAGAGCTTACCTGCTCCTTATCAAGAATTGCCAACAAATATTCTGAAATGATAAAACTCATTAGATGTGATGAGAATTTTAGCACAGATATGCCCAGTATTTTAGAACCATGTAGTCAGTAGACTACACAACACAAAACAAAAAAGGCAAAACTCAAAACCTAAAATTTTGATATCAGTGTTTAGACATCTTTGCTAACAAAGCACAGATGGTTGGGCCTCAGTTACCAGGGCTTGTGAAAAGAACAACTTGTTAGCAAGGCACCTTAGAATAGATGGATGGAGTTGTAAGCTTAGAAGAAGGTTAAGGGCCAGATGGGGCCAAACCCTTAACCCACCATGTGGCCAAGATGGCGAACTCAAGATGGCGAATTTCTGAAAAAAATGCAAAGAAACCCTGAACAAATAGATCAAGCCTACATTGGCTAGCCTTTGAGAGGGAACCTAGAGGGGGGTCCCCGGGACCCAGCCTGTGTCTCACTCTTCAGGGCACAAGCCAAAATGTAGAAAAGAGAAAGGGAGAGATAGGGAAGGTTGGACATGAATGGCAGCCGCAGCAGACAGATGGGTTCGCAAAAGGCCGTCAGAACTGTGGGTATTCCTCCGAGCAAAAAGGGAAAAACAAACAAAAAAAGAAAAAAGAGGAAAAAAAACCAGAGAGGAATCCCAGCTATCCTGACTTTAAGCCCTTTATCCCAGTCACGGCACCATTTATGTTAGGTTTTTAAAAAGAGGTAGCTGAGTAAGAACAGCACCACTCACGTGGTATTCAGGTAAGGAGTAGGTTTATTCATCGTTCTAGCTGGCACCAGGCCATCTTGGTCCTCCACGCGGTGGGGAAAGGCCTGGGGAAGAGAGCTGGGAGATCTGGGAAAGAGAAAGAGCTGGGAAAGAGAGAGAGCTGGGAAAGAGAGAGAAAAGAGCTAGAAAAGAGAGAAAAGAGCTAGAAAAGAGAGCATCTGGGAAAGAGGTGGGAAAGAGCAAGCTAGGAAAGAGAAGAGAACTGGGAAAGAGAAGAGAAGGAAAGAGCTGAGAAAGAGCTAGAAAAGAGCAGAGAGAGCTAGAAAAGAGAAGGGAGCTGGGAAAGAGAAGAGAAGGAAAGAGCTGAGAAAGAGCTAGAAAAGAACAGAGAGAAGGCCTGGGCCTGGGCTAAGCCTTATGTAGGGTATGGGCGGAGAAAGGTGTGGCCACATCAAATTCAGATGTGACCTCAGCAGATGCAGATATGACCTCTTCCAGGTGTCCCAGTTGCCTAGGTAATGCAGGCACTGGGTGGAGACTTCGCTGCGAAGAGGGTGGAGTCTGCTAGCCATCCAGGAATGGACCTTACAATAGGAAGCTTACAATACTTGTAATGTGTAAGATGTCAAAATATGCTAATTTTGACTGTAATCATTCTGTTGTTTTGTAACTGTGGTTTAATATAGGGTAAGTAACTATTTTCTTTTTCTTTTTTTTTTCTAGAGTGTTACAGTGACTTTTTAAATGAAGACTTTGATGTAAAGGCTTATACTTCCCAGTCTATTCATCAAGCTGTAATTGCTGAGCAGCTAGCAAAACTTGCCCAAGGAATCAGTCAGTTGGATAAAGAACTACACTTACAGGTAACGTAAGTCTTCTGGATCATTCAGATTATTCATTGTAAAGTGATAATTTAGCATTTTTTAAATCTCATTATTATCTAAATGCCTATCTACATGAATAAATACATAACTTAACAGTATAACTTATTTTTCAAGTTATTTTTTTATAAAATTCCTATAAACTTCTTTTTGTTAGTTGGAAACAAATATACCTACCTTTCCAGAAACTTTCATTTGTTCTTTTTGTTTACCACCTAAACAGATGTGTGGTGAATGTAGTCAGCAACAAATAGGATATCTTTAGTAAAAGTAGTAGAAAATGAGATTTGGAAGTTGCACAATATGGATAAGAAAGATTAGGATATTACATTGGCCGTTTACCCCTGTAATAACAAGGTGTAACATTTCCTGAATTATACAAAGTTGCTGAATGCTGTGTGGGGTAGATGTTGTGGTATGTAGAGCACAGTGTAGGCAATTAGTAGATAGGTCCCAATCTCAGCTACTTGTTAACTGACCTTCATATTGTCTAATGTCTGATCTTTTTTTCTAATTTAATATGGGGAATCAATGAACTAAATTGAAATGACCAAGAAAAGATGATTGCATTAGCTAGTCTTAAAGGTTGCTTACTCTTCTACAATTCTATAATTTTTATAGAGTAGCTTTATATTTCCTTGTTTATGACTTTTGTCTTTGTAGTTGCCTAATAAATGTATAGATGAATGAACAAATATGTGAATAGTTATTTACCAGGAAACTTGGTAAATAGATCTGGTATATCATGAGACATACCTGCTTAATTGTGATTTATTTTCTTTATCAATAACAAGAACAACTTAGCTCGGCACTGGTGGTTCACACATGTAATCCTAGCTACTCAGAAGGCTGAGATCTGAAGATCATGGTTTGAAGCCAGCCCAAGCAATAAAGTCCACTCTTTAGTACTTAAAGCAGAAAGTTAGGAAGGCTTTTTTTATTTATTTTTTTGGTCCGGTCCTGGGGCCTGAACTCTGGGCCTGGGCGCTGTCCCTCAGCTCTTCAGCTCAAGGCTAGCGCTCTACTACTTGAGCTACAGCACCACTTCCGGCTTTTTTCTTTTTGCTTATGTGGTGCTGAGGAATCGAACCCAGGGCCTCAGGCATGCAAGGCAAGCACTCTACCACTGAGCCACCTTCCCAGCCCCTAAAATTTATTTTTATTTTGGGTTGTATTGTACTTGCTACCACTTCAGCCACTTTCCCAACCTTTCTTGCTTTTTTTCAGGTAGAATCTTGTTGGGGCTGGCCCCATGACTAGACTATGATCTTCCTATTATGCTTCCTGCAGAGTTGGGATGACAGTTCACGCTACTAGGATGAGCTTATCGACTGAGATAGTCTTGATAAGCTGAACCAAATCCTCTGATTACAGTTTTGAGCCACGACTTCTGATCTAGGAAGCTATTTAACATGGAACTGGTTTTTGTTTTTGTTTTTTTGAAATTATTGGGTGAACATCCAGTGGACTGAGTTGAGGGAAGTACCATCAATGCAATATAGAGGCCTGGAAGCTTTCTTCTTATGTCACTGCTAAAATTCTCTTTCTATATAGCTGGTGACTAACACTAGAATGAACGATGTGGCTCTCTCAACTGTCTTAAGTTCTCAGGTCATAGCACCTTGCTTACTTGCTGAAACAGAAACAGGGAAATAGCTTTCATCTGTCTTCTGTTTTCTACATCTTTTAGAAATTCATCTAGTTGGCTTCAAGGGAGTCTGTGAAAGTGTAATTTTATGCTTTTCAACCTTCCCAAAGTACATTAATGACCACATCAAAAGATGGAAAATTTGATCTTTTCTCCATCTTTGAAATAAAAATACAGAAGACTTAACACTGAAGTTAACTCTTGTAAGATGAATATGATAGGAAAAGACTTGACAACAGTGGTATCCAGAACAGAAAAAAGAAGGTGGTGAATGAATCTTTGATGCTTTCAGTAAACTTCAATTTACCAACTAGACATGCAACAACTTTTTACTCACTGAAATAAAGAGGGCACAGTGATAATGATTTCTGTAGTACTTTATAAAGATTTGTGTGATTTCTTCATGTTCCTAGGATTCTTTTGTAAGTACTCTTTTACTTTTTAGCCTGTTTTAATCTTTGCTTTAGTTATGACCATCCACATTGTTCCACTTGTCTTTTCCTTTCCTTTTCCCTTCTTTTTTTTCTTCTTGTGGTGGTACAGGAGTTCGAACTCAGTGGTTCATGCATGTACTCTTCCACTTGAGCCTTTGTCTTCACATTACCTTAATTTGCATTAAGGTAATTTTCATTACCTTAAGTTTCATAATTTTCAACCATTTGTAGGGGAGAGGACTTACTCAAGGAATAGGGATAGAGGAACACAGTGCTTTATCTTTCCAAATTACAGTGTAATCTTGATGCTGAAATTATGTTCAAGAACCAAGAGAGCCTGATGTTTGGACATACTTTTTTTTTTTTTTTTTAAGGGATAGCACAATAATAGCAGGTGAAGAATTAGCTAGTTTTTTCATTTTTTACACAACTCTGTTTAAATTGAGGAAAACAAAGGGCAAGCTATTGGGCTTGCCCAAACTTCACATGTTATGGAAGTATATCCTCATTGTGTTAGTATTAAGATGTGGGACTTCTGAGAAGTGATTAGTGCCTTTCTGAGAGGCCTAAATGAGACTGCCTTTCCATGGAATTATAGAATGCACTATTTATGAGGAATATCTATTTACCCGACTCTTAAATTTGCTGACACCTTTATCTTGGACTTCGCAGTATCTTGAGCTGTGGATAATGAATCTTTTATTCTTTAGAAACTACCTACTGTAAAATATGTGATATTTTGTGTTTGTAGTTCAGCCTATGGACAGGGCTAGTGAAAAGTTAGCAATCTGCTCTTGCTACATTGGACTGTAAATGTGTGTGTTCTCGCTAATAAGCATACATTTATAACCTTTGTTTTTGTATTTATCCCCTTTATATACTGAGATCTTTATTTCTTCTTGTGGTCACACAGAAAAATGCCTAATAGAGAAAATACTGATGTTTCATTCTTGATTTTTTTAGGTTGTTGCAAGACATGAAGATTTACTGGCACAAGCAACTGGGATTGAGTCTTTGGAAGGTATATTTCTGTGGACTATCACATATTAAATGGCACTAGACCAGGGATTTGCAAACTTTCTTTTGAAAGTTAGATAGTAAACACTTTTAGATTTTGGGGCCATAAGTTTGTGATGCAGCTACTAAGTGCTAACATAGTGGTTTGAAAACAGCCAACAAGACAATGTATAAATGAATATGGTGACCATGTTCTACCATAAATAACTTAAATTATTTGAACTAATTATCCTTGCTTCATTACCAGAAAACTGGTTACCAGATAACCATGTGACTTTGGGAAAACTAGTTATTCATTCTGTTTAGTTTTTCTATCTATAAAACAGGAGTATTAATATGTACCCAAACTATATTAGTCTGAAGATTTAAATTAGTTAGCAAAATATGTACAACAAAGCCCACACAGAGTAGTCCAATAAGTATAAGTCATTTAAAACAAAAAATACCAACATCACCAGAATAGGTGGTTGTAGTGATTTTTTCTTTCTTTCTTTAAAGCTGTTATCCATAAAAGTATAGTTAATAATAAAATATTGGATTTTTATTTGTATGAATCCTTTCCTTTTGTTTGACCATATTTTTTATGAATTTTTCATTCTCTCTTGATTAAAGTACACCTCACAAATATGAAATGTTACGATTATGTTTTACATTATTACTCATACTATAATTGCTATTATTAAATCATATAAAATAATTATACATTAAGAGAAGGCTAAATGATATTGCCCTATTTTGTTCAGATTCTTTTTTTTTTTTTTTTTTTGGGGTCCGGTCGTGGGGCCTGAACTCTGGGCCTGGGTGCTGTCCCTCAGCTCTTCAGCTCAAGGCTAGCGCTCTACCACTTGAGCTACAGCACCACTTCCGGCTTTTTTTCTTTTTGCTTATGTGGTGCTGGGGAATCGAACCCAGGGCCTCATGCATGCAAGGAAAGCGCTCTACCACTGAGCCACCTTCCCAGCCCTTTGTTCAGATTCTTAAGGGAGGGTATTGTTTTTTGTGTTGGTAATATTCTTTAGTGTTCTCCTGCGATTTCTCATGTACTCAAAGGTACTAACATCTTAAAATACACTGTTTCTAAGACATCCTGCTGAATAACTTAGTATTTTGGGTATGAAGCTTGATTCTCATTTGAATATCTGGGATAAGTATATGACTATGTTCTTGGGGAAACTAAAAGGCTCTCAGTACTGATTGATCTAGTATTAGAAATTATCTTGCATGTACTTTTCATGAGTTTCTGATAAATAATATTTTAGTAGTTTTTCAAGAAAATGAATTTTCCATTTCTGAAAATTTATTGAAATATGGTAATACTTTAGTTCTGAGTTTTATATATGTAGATGAACCATTATTATAGAAGTATTTTCCTTATGTTTTTTTATATGTCCTTTTTTTATTGTGAAAATACTGTACAGAGGGGTTACAATTACATGGGCAAGATAATGAGTATATTTCTTATCAAGCATTGTAGCCTCCTCCTTTGTTTCCCTTTCCCATCCCTTCCCATTCTCCCCCCGCCCCCTATATGTCTTTTAGTCATATAATCTGTCCTTTTTTCCCATATTTTTTTTCCTTTTTGACAGTGCTAGGATTTGAACTTAGGGCTTTGTAGTTGCTGGATAGGCACTTGAGCCATGTCTCCAACCCTTTTTCCTTGGTTATTTTTGAGACAGACTTAGTTTTTGCCTGGGACCACTTGTACTGCAATCTTTCTATTTATTCTTCCCACCCTAGCTGGGATGTGTGCATCACCATGCCCAGCTTAACTGTTGAGATGAGATCTGGGGAAATTTTCACCTGGGCTGGCCTGGGACCTCCATGTTGCACTGTCTTCTTTCTAAGTAGTTAGGATTAAATGTGTGTGTGTGTTATCAGAGCCTGATTTTTTTCATAATACCTTTTAGGAATTACAACATTTAATATACACTAAGGACTGAGTGTAGCTCACTGGTAGAGCATCTGCATATTATGTGTGATGTCCTGGGTTTGAGTCCCAGCACTGGCGAACATATATATACATACACACATATATGAATACAAAAACATATACACATATGCATGTGTGTATATAGGTATAAAAATCTCATATGTATTAAATTTTGCATAGTAAATACCTATACTATGTATGTCTATGTGTTGTTTGAGCTAAACATTGGATGAATGTACAAAATACCAAAGGTTTGCTTTTTTGAACTGCTAGGTTATCTAATCGTATTTTCCAGATTATTTGTTTATCAAAAGCCTAAATATAAATTTATTAGTATTCATTTTAGCGTTTATTTCTTTTAGCAGTAGTGGGGTTTAACCTTGGGGCCTTGTGCTTGTCAGGTAGGCACTCCACCAACTTTAGTCTTGTTCCAGCCTAATGTAGTATATTTCTAAGTACTTATTGCAATACTTCTGGGTATACTTAGAAAATTTAAATCTTCTTTGCAACTTCTACTTTATTTGCACATAGAAAAATTTTGCCATGTAAGTAGCTTGATTTCATTTATTAATTTAATAAGTGAGATCCCATTCATTCATTTGTTCACTCAGTCAATAAAATTATAATTGAGAGATTGGTAGGTAGCTGGCATATGTGAACAGTGGTAGTCTTTGTTCTTAGGAGCTTATTTTTCATATAAGAGGTAGACTTATAAAAAAAAAGTACAAAGAGTAACTTCAGATGCTTTTAAGTCCTACAAAGAAAACTAGACAGGTGATGATGTTGAGGAAGAAAAGTCTTCCACTGGCTATAGTGTTCAGAAAGGCCTTTTTGAGAAGTTGACTTTTGAACTGAGATTTGAATGATGAAAATGAGCTATCATGTGAAGATCAGGGGGAAAAAAGTGTTGTAAGCTTTGGGAAAGAAAGAATTAACGTGACATGTCTGAGGTGTAGAAAGAATTTTGAAGGAAGAGAATCACAGAGGTCTTAGAAAGGAATTTTTATTTAATTCTAAATTCCTGGGCAGACCATTAGAGTGTAAATAAGAGTGTAAATAAGAGGTTAATAATTTAATGAGATTAATAAATTTACACCGATGGTTCTAGAGAATGATGCCTTAGAATGTAGTAGTTATATACAAAGAGAGAAATGGAAGCAGAGCTGATAAGGTTTATTGATGAAGCTGAAAGGACAAAGAGAATAGAGTCATAAATCAGTGATTTCTAGGATTTTAATCTGAAAAATTGGATAGATGATGGTATATAGATGGAGAATAGTTTTTATATTGGAATGAATTAGCGACCATGAAAATATTTTCAGCAGAAGATTAGTACGATACAGTTTTATAATTTGAACTTTAAAAAATGTGTCAAGATTTTTGTTGTGTAATTTTAGTAAGACTCACCTAAATATTACCATTTTAACTATTTTAAGGTGCATAATTCAATATCATTGTGTATTTGCAATGTTATATACTTACTACCATTGTCTAGTTTCAAGACTTCTTCACTATCCTAAATCAGAAGCCTTTATCCATTAACTGGTCACATCTGATTTTATGGATTGGAGGAAATCCAGTTACAGGCTTATATAAAAATGCAGTTGGTTGCTTAGATTAAGATGGCAGCAGAAAAAAATTAAATTAAACGTGTATGTTTTCTTTTAATTTGCTTTCTTTACCCAGCATGAGTCCTTGTAAATTTATCAAGTTAATGTAAGCTGATTTGTTTTCCTAGGTGTTCTTCAGATGATGCAGACAAGAATTGGGGCTTTACAGGGAGCTGTTGATAGGTACTGTTGTTAATTTTATAAGAATGAAAATATTTCTGTCTTTCAATATTTTGAAAATTATTTTATTTTCATTAATCTCTGTTTCCTCTTAGGATGAAAGTAAAAATTGTTGAGCCATACAATAAAATAGTAGCCCGTACTGCACAACTAGCAAGACTTCAGGTAGGTTCTCACTTTTACTTCTTTGTACTTACGTTGTTTTCATAAGTCAACAAATTTCAAGAGGTTAAATACAGAAGAAATTGAGAATGGGTACAGAAAGCTAGAGAAAAAAGAAAAGTTTCAAGATACCATTTCACAAAGTATAAATTCAAAGTATTAAAAACATACTATTATTTTGCTTTTGCTTTTGTGATGGAGTCTTATTTCAGCCTTTAAATCAAATAATTTTTTCTCTTTCTTTGACACTATTGGGTTTTGAGCTCAGGACCTTGAGCTTCCTAGACAGGCATAATAAATACCACTTGAGCCATCTCTTACTCCTCCAGCCCTTTTTTGCCTTGTTTGTTTATTTATTTATTTTTGTGCTAGTCTTGAGGCTTGAACTTAGGGCCTAGGTCGTTGTCTCTGAGCTTCTTTGGCTAAAGGCTATTGCTCTACCATTTGAGCCACAGAGCCACTTTGGTCTTTTCTAACTAATTTATTGGAGATAAAAGTCTCATGGACTTTCCTGCTCAGGCTGGCTTTGAGCTGTGATCCTCAGATCTCAGCCTCTGTAGTAGCTAGGATTACAGGTGTGAGTCACCAGTGCCGGGTTGCCCTGTTTATTTTGAGATAGGGCCTTGCTTTTTCCCTGTGCCCACTTTTGGACTGCATTCCTGCTCTTTATACTTTTATGTTGCTGGATAAGTGTATCTTGTCCCACTCACCTTTTTATTGGTCAAGATGAAGACTCTGTAAACTTTTTGCCTGGGCTTGCCTGGAATTATATTTGCCTCCCAACTAGTTAGAATTCATGTTTGAGGTGTAAGTCACTGTGCTTAGCTCAGTGAACTATTTCAGATAAAAAATACAGCAAGATTAAGGAAAATTCTCCTTAGTTTTGCCACCTCTGTATGTTACCAACTTAGCTCAGGTCTCAATTATATGAAAAGGCTATTCAACCATCTGAATGAGGTTTTATTGAAGCACAAGGGAGGCAGTATATGCCGCAAGGTTTTTCTGTTTTGTTTTTTTTTTCCATAAGAATGAGAAGAATACAGCTTACATAGGTCAAAGGGATGGGCTCCCATAAGCTAGCTCACACTCAGCATTTAACTATAAAATTTTAGGACTAGTTTCATGCTAGTTCTTGGCTCCTAGAGCTGGGGTTTGGCACTTCGTGTTTTGTGCATGTGTGCTGGATCCACCTGCACTCAGCCATCATGGTGTGGGACAATGCTCATCACTGCTACCACAGGAGGCTGCAGAAAAATCCCAAGTCTGAAGGGTCATCCATGGTAGTGGTGGTGATTTTAGAATGGTGGCCGAAGTGATGACAAGTGGTCTTAGAAATCGAAAAAGCTACTGCTGCAATGATGGCATGTTGGCCTGGTGTGGGAACCTCTTTAGCAGTAGTGGCAGTGACCTGCCCAAACTACACTTGGGCAGTGGTGGCTGTTGGCTAAGCTAGCCAGGAGCTTTGGGAGGCAGAATAGTTCTAGACAGCAGCTTCAGTCACCTGCAGAACAGCCTCTGAGCAGAAAAACAGAAAAAAGCTGGAAAATATTCTTCAATATCACTTTGGGCAAGTTTTGTATGTATCATTGTTTATGTGGACATAAATTTTTAATTTTCTTGAGTATGTATATTATTGAGAGTATCTCACTCATAAGATTATTCTATGTGTAGCATTTTAAGGAGTGCCAAACTGTTTCCAAGGGATCTGCACTATATTCCATGAAGTACTCTAATTTCTTGCCAACATATTTTTTCATTGATAGATCTACTTATTTGATATGAAGTATCTCATTGTCATTTTAATTTGCATTTTTCTAAGGATTGATGATACTAAATATGGTTTATCATGTCTATTTAGCCACTTATAAATACTTGTGGAGTGATGTCTTCAAATTCATTGCTGATCTTAAAATTGGGTTGCCTCTCACTTTGTGTTGGTCATCTTTCTATTACTGTAAGAAATATGTGATAATCAGCTCATAAAAAGAAAAGAAATAGCCTTTTTGCTCATAGTTTGGGGGTTTCTGCTCATTACTGATTGATCCCATTGATTTGGGTTTGTGATGGCATAGCACATTATGGTGGGAGCGTGTGGTGGAGGAAACCATTCACTTTGTAGCTTGGAAGTAAAGAGCAAGAAAAGAGATCACTGGGCTCCAGCAGCTTACACCTGTAATCCTAGTTACTCCAGAGATCTGAGGATCGTGGTTCACAGCCAGCCCGGGCAGAAAAATCTCTGAGACTCTTATCTTCAATTAACTACCAGAAAACCAGAAGTGACACAGTGCCTCAAAGTGGTAGAGTGCTAGCTTTGAGCAGAAAAGCTCAGGGACAGCACCCAGGCCCTGAGTTCAAACCTCACAACTGTATATATATAAAAAAAAGAGTTTGGATGTCTGGTCTTTTCTAGTAGTAGATATGAGATACTTTTAAGTTATTTTAGGGGTGCCTAGAACATACATTTTCTGACCAGTAAGGAATTACAGATATCTTTCTTAACAGCTAAATAAAGATGGAGCCTGTAATGCAGTCTAAAAATCATTTTTCCCTATACTTCAGTTTCTATTTACACTTTATTCTTTATCTACTCCTTTTGACTTTTGCTTACTCCTGCTGTGGATTAACCATCATTCTCACTGGCTCACTGTTCTGCTCACTCTACCTTTTGTCTCATTTTCACTTATTGCCAACTCACATTCAACTGTTTTTTACTTACCCAAGAACCAAGTTTGGATAGTTCTTATACTAGGGAGTGGCATTAACAACAGGGGACAAATTTTGTGTGGCTTCCTATCAGCTAGCCTTGTTTCCTGATCTAATCAGTTGTGGCCAAGTTTATGAAAGGATCATGTGATTGAAATGTGATAAATGGACCTTTTCAATCTGCTTTCCTGAAGATGTTTGTAGGCAGTGTAAGTGTTCAGACCATTGTAAGAGTTCTTTCTAGGTAGTGTTTTACTTTTATCTTAAAATATGTATTAAGACGGGTGCTGTGGCTCACGCCTGTAATCCTAGCTTCTCAAGAGGCTGAGACCTGAGGACCACAGTTCAGAGCCAGTCTGGGCAAGAAAGTCCATGAGACTCTTATCTCCAATTAAACACCAGAAAACAGGAAGTGGCACTGTGGCTAAAGTAGTAAAGCACTAGCTTTGAGCTGAAGAGCTGAGGGACAGAGCCTAGGCCCAGAGTTCAAGCCCCAGGAGTGACCAAAAAAAAAAAAATTAAAAACATCAGTGAGCTGGGGATATAGTGCATTACTTAGAGTTCTTGCCCTCAGTTCAGTGCTCAGCGCTGCAAAGCTCAAAACAAAATTAAAAACTCCAACCCTCTCCCACCAGTGATCCCATAGTTAAATTTTTTTTTTTGTCTGCCATGGGGCTTGAACTCTGGGCCTGGACGCTGTTCTCAGCTCTTCAGCTCAAGGCAAGCACTCTACCACTTGAGCCACAGCGTCACTTCTGGTTTTCTTGTGTTTTATTGGAGATAAGAGTCTCATAGACTTTCCTGCCCGGAGCTGGCTTTGAACCATGATCCTCAGATCTCAGCCTCCTAAGTAGCTAGGATTATAGGCATGAGACCCTGGCACCTGGTCCATGGTTAAATTTTAAGTACTGCTGTGTTTTCTTTTTCTTTCTTTCCTTTTTTTTTTTTTTGCTGGTCAGGGGTGCTGAGGAATGGAACCCAGGGCCTCATGCATGCAAGGCAAGAGCTCTACCACTGAGCCACCTTCCCAGCCATAAGTACTGCTTTTTTATAATATTTTTAAAAGATATTTTTCTTATTTTTACTAAAAACCTGGTATTAATCTCCTGACATTCTAATTTTACTGAATGAATTAGCACAAGGATGGTATAAAATGCTAAGAAAAATGATTATATACTTAGAAAATTGCTCCAATAAAATGAATTTTTCCTCTCATTTTCCTCTAGTAAGCTTTAAAATATTTTTATATTTGAAAGTGTAGCGTTTTAAAAAATATTCTTTTATTGGTTTCTTTGAAAGATTTCAATTTAACATGTCAGTTGTGTGTACATTGCATCTTATCAGTCATTCCTTCCATTATTCACCCTTCTTCATCTGTCCCATTTTCCCCATCTTCACAAGTCTTCAAGTTCAGTTTGCTTGTATGTATAAGGATGTTTTGGCTGTATTCACCCACCATAAGTTTTTCATCAATGCCATTCTGTTCACCTTCTATGGTTATTTACATTTGAAAATTAGGGGAACTAATGTTAATGCTTAATCTTTCTCTTATTTGAGCTCCTAATTAATTTTAGTGCATATGGTATAGGAAAGCAAGAAATAGCTAGGAGGAATATTTTTGCCTTGAGCATAAGTTTCTATGATTATATCTCCAATTAAAAAAAATATACTTTTAAATCTTTTTTTTAATCCTTATTTCACTTTCACTTTCCATAAAGCCTTTTTTATTTGCCCAAAGCAGAAGTCTCTGGCTTCATTTATATACATGAATATATCACTTGAATTTAATTATCATCCCAAGGATTATCTTGTCTTATTTTAGTAATAGTGTTTGCTTATGAATTACCTCATTTTTTCAGAGAAAAAAACATTTGAAGAGCTTTTTATCCTTTACCTAGAAAATTTACATAAACATTATTGATGAAAATTTGAGTTTTTTAAATTCTCAACTCTTAGCTTTTAAAAACTTTTAATGTGTAAAAATATACAATAGCTTTCTTGATAAATTTTCTTTTTATCTTGTTATTCACCATAGTAAGTGATTCTAAATGGAGCCATTGAAACTTTCCAAAATTCTTTTTTTCCCTTTGTTTTTCTTTTCCCTGATAGAACTAATGTCCTTGTGCTTGCCAGACAGTTGCTTTACAACTTGAGCCACACTCCTGCCTGTTTTGAATATGGTTTTGTGGTTATACCCTGGCTAGTATGGACTGCTCTTCCCCTAGTTGTGTTTTCTACAGATGTGTACTACCACACCCGGCTTTTTTTGGTTGAGATGGGATCTTGATCCTTCTGTTCCCTGCCTCCCAAGTAGCTAAGATTATAGACTTGAATTATCATACTGGCTGAATCCTTCCTAAATTCCTGATTCGCAGAGAGTAGAAGTTTCAACTGCTAAATTTTATGCTTGTTTCTTATACAGCTATCGATAATTGATAGGGCAATTAAATGGATTTCAAGTATAGAGACTCCTATAGCAACACACAAGAATGCAAGGAATACTGTTTTCCTAAACTTTTTTTTAGGAATCTTCTAGATAATGTATTTCAGACAACAAAAATGATTAGAAAAATAGTAATTTAAGGACCTGTACTGTTAGGACTAGCAGTAAATAAAGTCTACAAAATGGTTTGTTATAGATAGTTTACATGGAAAAAATGTGAGAGCATGTGCCTATTAGCTATTTTCGGCAATCAAATTTTTGTTATGGTATTTTTGGTAATTAGCTTTTTCTGTATATATTGTACAGCAAAGCAAATGGAATATTTCACAGTTTTAACTCTTGTCCCCGTGGAAGGGAATTACTTTGAATTCTTCCTCGTCTTTAAGAACCAACAATTTTAGTGGAAGAAATAATATGCAGATGTAAACTAGAAGGTTAAATTAACACTCTGTACATTTGATTTTTATTTGGAAATATCAGCATGAACTTGAGATATTTTAACTTTATTTTAAAATAGTACAAGTCTTATATATGTATACTTTATACATATATATATGTGTGTATGTATAATGTTAATCCAAGAATATTTTCTGTGTATTACTGAATTGTCAATGAATATTTATGCCATATTTTAATTATGACATTTCTTGGCTATGTCTAAAGAAAGGGCCTAGAAGTGAGCAAGCCTGGTTTCCAGAATATACTCTTGAAATTCTGTTTCCTCCCAAAAGAAATCAGGACTTCTCAGACATATCTATGATTTTAAGTCTGTGGCATGAAATATATGAGGTTATCTTCAAACATTTTTGTACCAGATGCCAAGAAGGATAGATCAGCATGACCATTGGGTCTATGACAAGGTGTCTCAGGAATCAACTTGAATACGTTCTAGGGTAACAGATATTGCAGATTTAGACTGAACTCTTGGCTTGGGCGCTGTCCCTTACCTCTTTTTTTTTTTTTTTTTTGGGTCCGGTCGTGGGGCCTGAACTCTGGGTCTGGGTGCTGTCCCTCAGCTCTTCAGCTCAAGGCTAGCGCTCTACCACTTGAGCCACAGCGCCACTTCCAGCTTTTTTCTTTTTGTTTATGTGGTGCTGAGGAATCGAACCCAGGGCCTCTGGCATGCAAGGCAAGCACTCTACCACTGAGCCACCTTCCCAGCCCTGTCCCTTACCTCTTCAGCTCAAGGCTAGTGCTCTACTAGTTGAGCCACAGTGCTACTTCGGCTTTTTCTGCTTTTGTGGTACTGAGGAATCGAATCCAGGGCTTCACGCGTGCAAGGCAAGGACTTTACCACTAAGCCACCTTCCCAGTCCTTAGCCCGAAAGTTAAATCATGATAAATCTTTTAGACCAGGCACATGATAAAGTTGTTCACTCTCTCGGTTTCCCACTAGCCAAAAATCAGACAACTAGAACATCAGATAAGTATTTGAGCTGCATTAAATTAGCATTCCTCATATTTATTCACAGCAATTATAATGATGGAAAAACCCCAAAACAATACTCAGACTACATTAATTGTTCATCATTGGTAGATATTTGAAAATCCTTCCTTTTGAAAACTGATAAACCAAAGGGAAAAAAAGTCAAATATTTATCTTTTTGTGGTGGTGCTGAAGCTTAACCTCCTACGTATTTATTCTTACTTTTCTCTCTGAATACCATCCCTGGGCAAACAAATAGTAGATGAAGTTAAAGTTTCTTTTGCTGAGACATTTCATCTATTAGTTAATAAAGATGAAGCAGTAGAATTTGAATATCACATTTTGCAATTACTTAGGTGATTAATAGGTTTTGACATGTAATATGTGTCTGCTAACAAGCAAAAAAGTGAAAATCATACTTATGTTACAAATATACCACTACCTGATGATTAACCTTGCCAAAATATTAAACCTGAAGCTGATGAAGCTACCTACACCCACCTACTAATTTATGTGAAATATACAAGAATAACAACCTTATTAAAACTCTGTATGGGAATATAGTAAATAAAACACATTCCATGGGAAACCATGTAGGACAGATGATTTAAGGTATTAAACAAATTGAAATTGAAAGAAAATGGTGAGGAAACCTTGTATATCTATATTTTAGTGATAAAAATGTGAGGGCTGAGAATGTAGCTCAGTGGTAGAGTGCTTGACTACTATGTGGAAGGTCCTTTGATTTGCCAGCAATGCCATAAATACATAAATTAATAAAAGAAAATCTAAAATGGTAGGTAAAAGTAAGTAAGTTACTACCATAAAAAGATAGTGTTTTTTGAAATGGGAAGGCAAAGTATGGTGAACTTTTGGTTGTTATCACAGTTGCCTATTTGTATCATAAAACTACCATAAGAAACAAGGAAAGTAAATTAATGGCAGGAGAGGCAACTATGTTGGGAAATGGTGAAAGTTGATGCCTTATGGATTAGCTAAGAATTGTTGACTGAAGATTTTATTGAATGCTGTTCTCAGAAGATTTAACATAATCTAAATAGAGAAACACTAAAAATTATTAATAAGAGGGCTGCAGTGCTTAAAACGTGTGTGTGTGCGTGCGCGCGCATGTATGCTGGTCCTAGGGCTAGAACTCAGGGCCTGGGTACTGTCATTGAGCATTCCTTTGCTCAAAGCTACTACTCTAGCCATAGCTCCATTTCTAGCTTTTTTGGTTAATTGCAGATGAAGAGTCTCACAGACTTTCCTTCCTACTCTGGCTTTAAACAGCAATCATCAGATCTCAGCCTTTTGAGTAACTAGGATTAAGAAAGTATGAGCCACTAGTGCCTGGCTTAAAACTGTTTTTGAGGAGACAAATGTGGCAGGATGAATTTCATAGAGAATGAAAGCTAAATCTTAAAGATAGTGGTAAGCGGCAGCATTTGCTTTGTTATCTTTGCTTTGTTATCATTACTGAGGCTAAATAAAGATCATGATGTGTTGGTCACCTCATCTGCTCCCTTCACCTCCCTCTCCCCAGGAAAACTCTGAATCTAGCTTCTGTTGTAAAGTATCCTGAAATATTTAAGTCTTTATTGTTTTTAATTTTACTCTGAATAGACTTAAGTAGGTTAAGGCTCACTACTAGATCTGGGAAGGAAAAGGAAATAAGAGGTGGCATGAAAGTGAGTTTTTGTTTCAGTAAATCTTTTGTTATTTATTGTTAGAAAACCATTGGGAAAACTGAAGTAGAGTCATGATTACTTTTTAATGATTAGTAAAGTTTGGAGAAGTTTAAGGCTACTCCCTGGGGCACTGAGAAAAGAGAAACTAGAACTGGAGGCAGTAGTAGTAGGAAGCCTAGCATACAAGTTGTCCACCACGGTCTGTACATTGATATCACTTTGGCGTAAAACTGATTTAATTGGAATTTAAAAACCCATCCACCTAAATTTAATGTGTGGTCAAAACTGAGAATCATTGGAGAAAAAAAACTGGTTTGAGACCTCAAAGAATCTAGGTTCTATAGTATCTCTATTCAGATTATCTCCCCTTGGGATAAAAATTTACTTTCTTGTAAAGGTATGGCACTTCTGGCTGTTTCCTGGGAGATTTGATATTTCTAAGGAATGATTATTTAGGTTTTTTTATGGGTGAGAAACAAAAAAAGCATGAATGAATCTGTAGCATCTGCAAAGAATGGACAGATTCACATATCAACAGTAAGGACAATGAAACTTCATGGGTTAACTTACTACTTGTAATGTGTTCTGTGAACAGGTTGCTTGTGATATGCTTCGGAGAATTATTCGCATTTTGTATCTCAGTAAGAGACTCCAAGGACAACTGCAAGGGGGAAGCAGAGAGATAACAAAAGCTGCACAGAGTCTCAATGAACTTGGTAAGTCCTTTTTGATTAAAATATTTGTAGAGGTTTGAAGATATTACTTGATTTATTAACTATGTTCTCTCCATTAACAATCTTGAAGAACAAATAAAAAATTGACTGGGTAGAACATTGTCATACTTCACAGAATGGATAAGTAAAGGTAGTTTGCCTTTTGGAAATGCTGTTTCATTTGAAAAGTTATCACATAGTACAAGTGGCTCCTTTCCACAAAGAGGTGTTTAAAATTTCACTTATATAGATGTATGTCAGCACCACACTTGTACAGTGCAGGTCCATCAGCTCCAGTATTCACACATCACTTTATGATCACACTTGTCCCCTCCCCTGACCAGATTTTTCTCTATCATTGTAGTTTTGTCTTAATAATAGTATCACATAAATGGAATGATTAAGTATTTAACCTTTTGAGGGTGGCTTGTTCATTCAGCTTCATAATTTAAGATGTTGGGAGTGTTAGGTTTTTAAAAAGAGGTAGCCGAGTAAGCACCCCGCACGTAGTATTCAGGTAAGCGGTAGGTTTATTCAGTAGACTTGCTGGGACCAGGCAAGATTGGCATTCCATGCAGCTGGCAAAAGAGAGCTGGCAAAAGAGGGCGTCTGGCCCCGGGTTAGGCCTTATATGGGGGTGGGGGTGGGGGGAAGGTGTGTCCAGGTAAAGGGAAGTAGGATCAGGTGGGAGAAAGGTGTGGCCACATCAGATTAAGATGTGACCTCAGTGGATGCAGATGTGACCTCTTCCAGGTGTCCCAGTTGCCTAGGTAACGCAGGTACTAGGCGAGGTCTGTTCGCTGTCCAGGAATGGACCTTACAGGGAGTACCAATAGTTTTCTACTATGTATATGCCAAAATACTAGTCTATAGAAATAAAGGTTGTTTATTGATTCATTCCTTGTAGGACATTTATGTTCTTTCCAGTTTTGGCAATAATGAATACACTGCTATAAACATTTGTGTATAGGTTTTCAGGAGAAATGATTTTTTTTAGGTGAAAATTTTCATGTTGATGTTATGCCTAGGATTCTTTACGAAACTTTTGCAGGTTTTGTTTTGGTGGCACTTGGGTTTGAAATAAGAGCCTTGTACTGCCTAGGCAGGTGTCTTCCACTAGAGCCATGCTTCTAGCTATTTGCCCATTCTTTTTTCAGACACTTAGAGAATAGGTACTTGACAGCAGGTTTAGTGTTTATGTTTTTGACTGTTAACAAGCTTTGAGGTCCACAGTACATCAGTTCATAATTTTTCAGGGAAAATTTTGAATAGCTAGTGGATCTATATAGAATGCCCAACACCTGAGTTTTAATCAGGCTTTGTCCTTTTCTTCTTTACCTCAGGTACATGGTAATTTTTCTGAAGTGGATAGTGCTGGTACTTTTTTTTTCTCCCTGGTATTATGTAGGATTTCAACTCAGGGCCTTGCACTTGCTAGGCAGGTGTCTACCACTTGAGAACATACTCATTCATTTTTATTCTTTTAGTTATTTTTCAGATGGGGTCTTATTTTCGCCTGAAACCAGTCCAAACTACAATCTTTCTACCTATTCCATATGACTAGCTGGGATTCCAGGGGTATACTACCACACCTGGATTATTGGTTTAGATATGGAGTCTTGCCTTGGGTTGGCCTTGAATTGCATTGTTTCTCATATCTACCCTCCTGAGTAGCTGAGATTACAGTCATGTACCTCCATGCTAGTTACATTGTACTTTCTATAGATTCAGAAGGTTTTTGATTATTTACACCTGAAATAGCAAGTTTATTTACTTTTGGTAGTGTGCTTTTGACAGTAGTTACGTGAAAATAACTTCACAATAATGTGTATGAGGTGTTCTTTTTTTTGTTGTTGTTGTTGTTGGTTATGGGGCTTGAACTCAGGTCCTGGGGGCTGTCCCTGAGCTTGTTTGCTCAAGGCTATCACTCTACCACTTTAAACCACAAGGTCTACTTTCAGTTTTTGGGTAGTCAATTGTAGATAATAGTCTCATGGACTTTCCTGCCTGGACTGACTTTGAACCACAATCCTCAAATCTCAGCCTCCTGAGTAGCTAGGATTACAGATTTGAGCCACCAGTGTCTGCCTTAGGTGTTCTTTCTAAATTTTCCTGTCTTTGAGATTTCAGTTACACAGTCATGCTGTAATGCATGTGCTATATTTTTACTGATGGAAGAAATGTATGATCCTAAACAAGTAATGCTTGAACATTTCAGTTGTATAATATTCAAATATAGGCTTGTCTTTGGCTTATTCCTGGGCTGATATTTAGTATACTGAGCACATACCATATAAAAAGTTAAATTTTAAAGCAGTGAGTAATACTTGAATATTATTTCACAGTATGATCTAAACATAGGAGTGCAAAAATCTTAGTATCAACTTGCTTAGTATCAATTTGCTTAATCACACTGAATTTTTACTTTTCAAAAATGATCTGTAGGACAATAGGATATTAAACATGGATAAACAATTCTTAAGGTTTATTGTGTTTATCACTAACAATCCATCATATTAAAAATAGCTAGTTTTTTTTATTATTGTCATTATCTTCTAGAATCGACAGATGCTATATTCCTTAAAGCTGTTATTGTAGTAATATGGTGATGACTATACTCAAAGCCTTTTTAAGTATTAAATATTAAAAAGGTTTTGAGAAAATGTAGTTCATGGTAGAATTATCTCAGTGTAGGTAATTTAATTTAAAAATTTAAAGCCAGGCAGATTAAGTATGATTTATTATGATTAGTAAAACCATCATAGTTTGTATTTTACCCCTGTGGTTTTTGGCTAGTCTTAGTATTGATAGCTAAAAAGGGGAAAAATAAATTTTCTGTGTTTAAAATTAATATTTTAATAAAAGTGATAGTCACTATTCCAGTTTTATATGTACACATCAAATTACATTTCTGTGGCGGGAGCATCTGTAATGTTATTTTTGCTTGCATCTGTGTGGTTCTACTTCTTGTTATATAATTGAACCCAGTAGGTGGGTGCAAAGCTAGTAATCCCATGAGGAAGTAAGTGAAAGTATTTTAATTGTACCATGTAAGGAGAGCACTGGGGAGAACTCCCTAGTGTATCCCTGAACACAGGCAGTATAGAGACTTTACTAGAGCTAGTTTATAGTGGAAAGATTTGTCATTGCGTGTATAGGCAGACACTTTCCTTACTTGACCTCTTGTAGTGTGTTGAAGTCAAAAGGCAAGTATCTCATGGGCTGTATAAAATTACCTTATGTGCTATATGAAAGAGAAATGAACTTTATGCTACAATTTTGATTCAATCCCAGGATTTTTTTTATTATGTATATGAAAATAAAATCCTAAGCCTAAATCATTCTGGTTCCAAGCATTTTTGGATAAGTGCACTCAGCCTGTATCAATTTAAGACAATTTCCTGCCTCCCTCTCTCACTCCCTACATCCCTTCCTTTTTCCTCTCTCTCTCCCCCCGCCCTCTATCCTTTTCTTCCTTCCTTTCCTAACTTCCTTAGAACTTCTTTTTCTTCTCTCCTCCCTCCTTCCTTTTTTTCTTCCTGGTCTAAGTGAAATTTTGAAACTTAGTTTTGGTGTGAAACATTACTAGTAACAAAGAAGTGAACATACTATCTTCCTCTAATGTTTCCTCAGGTCTCTTAGTAATTCTTCTGCAAACATTTACTGATTTACTCTGTCATAAAAGATTGTCTTCCACTTTAAAGATTTTTTTAAAAATATAAAATGGAATCATACCTTTTGTTCCCCCCTGTCAATCCTGGGGCTTGAATTTAGGGCCTGAGCACTGTCCCTGAGATTATTTTTCTCAAGGCTCGTGCTCTACCACTTGAACCACAGCTCTACTTCTGGCTTTTTCTGAGTAGTTTATTGGAGATAAGAGTCTCATATGTCATGTAATTTCCTGCCCAGGCTGGCTTCAAACCATAATCCTCAGACCTCAGCTTCCTGAGTAGCTAGAATTACAAGGTGTGAGCCACTAGCACCTACTTCATATCTTTTTATTTATTTATTTTTTTGGTAGAACTAAGGTTTGAATTCAGGTCTTACACTTTCTAGGCAGGTGTTCTGTATTCAAGTCATGCCTCCAGCTCTCTTTTTGGCACTGGTTATTTTTAGTTAATATACATTAGTTATACAATGGGATTTCATTGTAACATTTCCATAAACATTATATATGTCTATATAAAAATGTATATAATTATGTTATTTGTAGTATATATAAATTATATGCATATATATTATAGGTAATCTACCTCCTGGTCCTTCCTGAAACAATTTCAACAGGTTTCTTTATTCAGTTTTCATATATGCAAACAAACGACTTCAATCATATTCATCCTCATCCTCAGCATACTCTTTAGTTAGCTCAACCTGCTTTTGAGATAGGTTCTTTGCCTAGGCTTTGATCTCCCAATTTTAGATTTCATCATAGCACCACCACATCCAACTGTTGTTTAAAGAAGGATATCAAGGATTTTTCTACCTTGAATCACTGTCCTCCCAATCTCGGCCTCCTAAGTAGCTAAGATTAAAGGCATGAGTCACCAGTGCCTGCATTTGGAATCATACATGGGAATTGTACTAGGTATGTGCTTTGTTTAGTTTCTTTCAATCAATGTAATTATTTTGAAATGGACATAAATACTGAAATTTGTGTGCATCAATAGCTTATCACTTTTAATTGTAAACTAGTGTTCTATTGACATATAAATGCTAGCTTACTCATTCATCCTAGAAGGACCTATGAGTTATTTTGAGATATTACACATTTAGTGCTATGAACTTCTACATACAAATCTTTGTATCTTTTCATTTCTCTTGGTTAAATACCTAGGAGTAGAATGTATAGATCATATGATAGGTGATCACATTTAATTTATCAAGAAATTATTAATGTATTTAGAAGTACTTAGAATATTTTACATTCCTGGCATTAATGCATGAGAATTCTTCCTATGTTTTTGGCAGCACTTGCTATTGTCTTAATTTTAATCCTTCTTATC